TCAACAGTCTATTATTCCTATAATTATAAAGAGAATAGGGACGCTACCCAACCCAGACCAATCTTAATCAACATAATATTGCTTAAATGATACAAGGATTAATGTAGAACCATTGTAAAGTATTGTACAGCTTTGTTACTAACTAAGATAAGTTTTTCTGTAGCCTTTTTTACTAAAAAGGTGAGATAGTCAAATGCTTTTTGGAATGTGTTTCGAGTACTATATCCATTCCGTTGCCCATCTATACTCTTGTATTCCTGTTAACTTAACACCATAGATTAAACATTCTCCTTAAACCTATGGAACCACATTCAAACATCTTTCCCTCCCTTTTCTCCCGCCTGATTCCTACGCTTTTTTCTTTATTCATTTTATGTTTTGTTTTTTCTCTAACACTATTACACCTTGTACAGACAATGCACGACAGGTATTCTCCACGGCTATCTGAATCTGTCATCGGCCACCTTGAGTTTTATTGTCGTTCGCGCCAATCAAGTCGGCTGATTCGGCGGGTGTTTTTGCCCGCCAAACATCCACGTCTGTTGTCAGATCTGTCAGCGACGCCATCATTGTCGGACATGGCACAATCTTTTGTCACTGTTGTTTTTTTCTCTTGTGCCTATGATGAAACGGTTACAAATGGTTTATAATGAGATTTGTAGAAACACCTGGAATGTAAAATTAGGTATCTGTCTGGTGGATCGTCTTGAACTCACTACTGTAAAATTAGCTTACATATCAAAACAAAGGGTATTGTTGTACTAAGAAGAGTTATTTTTTATAGTTTTACCAAGAGCTTAGTCATAGCCCTTTAAATTTTCGAGGTAGGATTATTTAAAGTGAACGTTGATAGACGCATAAGCGTTAAAAAAAATTGTATTTTACGCTGTTGGGATTTTTGTACGGTAAAAGTCTAAACCCTGGTCTTGGATCGACTTCACTTTAATCAGAAGCCTTTTCTAATGTAAAATTACTAATGTAGATTGGTTTATAAATGAGATTACACTTCAGCACCATTCTACAAGGAGCCACTTAATCTTTCTACCACACTAAATATTTTATTTACAATCCACATTAAATCATAAGCCCTTAGAAGAAGCTTGTACAAGTTTCTATCTCTAGAAGCCAGTAAAGTTACTTCAGTCCATGACACATTTTCCGACTTAATACATCAGGAACTGATGTGAGGTCTAGCGCTAATTGATACCATGTTGGTTTCAATTCCCCTTTCCCTGCCCATAGACACAGTCCGAGGTTCCTTCTTTCATCATTCCCGCCTTTTTTCTCGACATATCACAGACGTCGGCGCCTTCTCTGAGAGGTGCTTATCACGTGACCTTTGAGCTTGCGACACCTTCTCAAAGCGAGCGACACCTTCTCAAAGCGAGCGACACCTTCTCAAAGCGAGCCGCGACAGACTTATTCCGCGAGGAGCGGCACGAGTACCAGATGGAAAATGGATAAAGTATGAGGTGCGGTTGGTATGGTTATTTTTAGCATATATAGATAGAATATTTTAAACATAAAATAGAATTATGTTATGTTAGAATAATTTAAATCATAAGTGAAACGCTTGTCCATTAATAATGTTGTGTTGCTAGTTGTTGTATAGTTGAGTAGTGGTTAGTGTCTCGGACTTTGGTGCGAAAGGGGTTTGATTCCCGGCTTATACAATATTTTGTTAATAGAAAATGGATAGTTTGAGATAGAGGAGCGTTTAATAGGTTTGTTTACAAGATTGCAAAGTCTTTAACAAAACCAAACTTAATAATATTTACATGCTCCTTTAAATGTCTATATTTAGTTGGGTACCTACGTAGTTAGCATCTCGGACTTGTGTGCGAGATGAACGGATTTTATTTTTAAAAGTGTGATATGATGGTGCATAATATAGCGATTTTGCGGGTCGAATATTTTAATATAAAACAAATAGTCACTCTTCACGGATAGTGTCTTAGACTTCGGGACAAGGGGAACGGGCCTGATCCACTGGGTTTCACCACTGTTTCTTTATAGTGTTTGTGATTTCTTGATTGAAAATATCAATAGCACCACACACAAGACACTTTAAACCATCTCGTGTGAAATAGTTATAGATTATCTAGTAAAATAGCATTGTTAGGCTAAGATAGGTGCGGGCAAAGACTACGAAATTCTAGAAATTTATTGAAAACATTGTTAATTTATGATCTTTATAGAACGAAGTAGATATTAATTTATTCATTCTTTTCAACGATACTGATTCCAACAAATTGGCCATCGAGAAGGAAATATAAATATTAGAATCAATAACCAGTCTATAACTGTGCCCAATATAGAATGTGGTAATCGTGATTATAAATTATCTTCATTGACAAGGTTATATCATAAAAAATGAAGTAGAAGAATATGTATTTCTTCTTGCATTTTACTAATATACACGAATGTCTATTTCGGCCCGCAACACGACGCCCGCCTGCAAAATAGCGAACGCAATTTAGAGTCAGATATCATATTGCCTAATTTCACGTGCAGGCGCTAGGTTTGCAAACCATTGGTGCTTAGCATTAGTTGTGACTAGTAACTCATTATACATATACTGTATACTTTGGATTAAATACAATATGTACAGTCAATGAAAGAGTACAGTAACACGTTTTAAATGATAAAAATAATCTATACTGACGTAATATAAACTGATTATTTTTTATATTTTTTTCATTGTTTGTAACGTGATTACTTATTTTGTAATTAGATACCTGCTTGGTTACATTCCAGTTTAATCAAAGCGCACATTTAAATTTATTTTTAAATTTTACAGGCCTAGTTCAAATTTGTTTATGAGATTTAAAGGTTTGTGTAACGTGTATAACCTAAGAAAGAATGTACAAATTTAACAAATTTTGTCGGTGGTTCCAGTTTGCAGGGAATAATTCAATGTTTACCATTTAATAATTGAAATTTAACAAACTTTATTGTTATTGTTTTCAATCAATAAACATTTACATAATTGCTAGTACTCAGGAAACCTTTGACTAAAGAGCATTGTAAATTCCTCCCTAAAATGAGAGGGATGCATTAAACCACATGGTCAGCATTAGTCCAATGATTAAGGACAGCTGGGTCCAGTATTGAACAAGTTACTCACTTTTCTTAGGATCGAACTGGCGACCTTTGAATACCAGGCGAGCATAACCACTGATCTACCCAGCTATAAAATACAATAGATTATACTGTAAGATGCTGGTTTTGGGGGAGCGATCTGGTCAAGTGGTTAGAGCGTGGGACTCCGGTTCCTGGGGTCCCGGGTTCAAATCCCGCAAAATCACAAATGGATTTTATCTAAGTGATAATGCCGTAACTACTAGGTCTAGCCTGAAGTAATGTGAAAAACAATTCCGGGCTCGTGCCTAGCGTCTTGGGGGAAAAAACTTTAGGAATGTATAGTACGAGTCTACTTGGACTATTAAAACGTTTCGTAATGAGCTGCGAACTGTTTTATCGACAAACAAGTAATTTAAACTACATCGACAACAGTGCATTTGCACCTTACCCCCATCAGTCGGCTACATTGAGAGCGATGTAGATGTAGCTGTATATGATGACAGACACCTCGTCGAGACGTTACCTGTACCTGGGGAGACGTTAACTCCGCATCATCCGTCTCCATCTCTGTGACGCATGACCGGATTATCGGGAGTACGCGAGGTGTCATGATGGATGTACAGAAAACACCGCGGATTGAATGTTGTCACCCCTCCAGGGGCGGCTGTTTTGTTTGAAAAGAATTGAAAATACGGCTGGCGTTACTTATGGGATTTTTGGCGGTTTTCACATATGTAGGTGTGTGTTAGATCTTATGATGATTTTGAATAGTTTGATTAGGAACTAGTTGGCTAAAAAACAGTCAAGAAAATCATACATTTAAATAAGTTTTAGTTGAATTCAATTTTTCGTTCCTCGGGTTTTATAAGTTTTTTTTACCAATTGCATAAATATTTTCGCGTACTTAATATTTTCTTTGTTCTGCCATCGTTATATATAATACGTGAAGGCGATTTCTACGAAACACTACTCCTCCGTTAAGGATTGACGGATTTTCACAAACAATATGTCAAAATTAAGTATTTTTGTGTAGACGCCCCCTTTCACCAATTTCTGTAATAAAAGCCCTCGGGCTTTGCCACAGGCCATCAAAATCCCAATGTTTTTGTTTTGAAGTATAAATTTTGTTTACTTAAGCAGACGAATAATAATTTGTATTAATTACACATGTTCATAGTAAACACATGATGAACACAAGAGCGTTCGTTTTCAATTTCGATAACTGTGGAGTGATTTATTACATTATTTTTGAGTCGACTCTTCATAAGTCATTGGAAAATGTGACTGTTATTCGTTTTGAAATAACGCCTGTAATACTGTGCAATTGCTTGAATTCGAGCAATAGGTGCACTAGTTGTTTCTAATTAATCGTTATTAGTACTACCACAGACAATATAATACTGTAATATGGTTTCTTCCATTGTCTGTGGTACTATTTAATAATAAAAACATTAAATGTCTCCAAATTGTTCAAGCATTGAAAAATACTTAAATATAACCCGTTTGGTATCATAAAAAAATAATAAGTTATGTGCCTCCTAGTGTATTGTAAGACGTTTCAGGCGTACTGGTACCAAGAATGGTAGGGTGTAGAATGGGGTACTAAGAAATTCTGTCTAGAACGTTTAATTTGTAATTTTGAACAAGAAATTTTAGACATGCAAGTGTCTTTTATTGTGAAGGTTGTTTCCTTACCATGTTTAGTTCAGATAATTGTACTGTACATAATTTATAAAGTGTGTATTGTCCTAACTATAGACTCCGGTCAATTCCCCAGCATCTCGGCTGTCAGCCTCCCAATCCAATGTTAAGTAATCCCCAATTCAGAACTTCACCCTAGACCATAGAGTGTTTTCTTGCGCGCATTAGTCTCAATTTCCCCTGCAAGAGAGTGGAGCGCAATCGTGCAATTGCGCATGAACCATCCCCCGCCATCGCGGGGAAAGCGTGGCAAGAAAATACTACTTCCTGCCATTAGCCTCAGGAACCCGCCATATTGGACGTACTTCACTGTCAGTACTTCACTGGGAGTCTACCCGCCAAAACTATACATCTCCCGCCAAATCCACAAATCTTGACGGGGCGTTAAAAGCAGAGGTTTGGAGTTTGCTACCTCAAAATGTATAGTTCCATGTCGAGTAAACTGATACAATTGAAAAATGTTGGTTTAAAATAAAGTAATTTAAATGTTTCGTAGTAAACACAAATTGTTGAAAGTGTTTGTAAATAACATTCTAAAGCAGTCCAAAAATGTAAACTGAGTTTTTTCAACCACTGCTCTCTGAATGTACTATTATAGATGTTTTCTGGAAGATCAATGGGACATTTTATCTTTAAAACTGATTACTAATTTTATTTAAGACTCTTCACATTTTCAAATTGTTAGTTCAGTATACAAAGAATACATTATGATATACGATATCAAGACTAGAGTGCGTATTTTAACGCAAATATGAGAAAAGGAAGCTTTTAAGGGCTGTATGATAGCTTTGTTTACTGAGAACCATAGTTTAAAAGAATTACTAAACAATTACTACATCAACACGGATACCCAGACATGGTAAAAATGATAAGAACGGAAGACTACATGAAACACAACCACGAATTCAGGATCCACTGTGTTTACTATGCGACGCTTAGACTTTAAATGTATACAATATAAAACGGTAATCTTTTTGTGTAAATTTCTTGAAAAAGAACAAGACATTAAACTGATACATCAAATTAGTACACGTCTCTTAGTGCATCTTGTAAACATATGTATATTTTAATTAAATTCTAAAATTTCATTCATGCTTCATATTTTTAAGATTCGTATTAGGCCCATTTAAAACAATTATATTAATCCGAAGTAAATCAAATATTACAATTTTCTAATACAAAGAGACATGTTGAATGGCACCGACGAGTCTACAAGTATCATATTCAAGGTCCCGGGCAATGGACGCACAACCTGACGTCTACAGTGAACTGCTGATCGAAGTGGCAGCCAATCACAGCATTGAGCACCAAAGGGATCATCTATGATTGGACACTGTAGGCGTGGTTAATTAGAATGATGGGAAATCTCAAAAAAAAGGAAGGGACAGGAGGAGCAAGATGGGATCAGTCTGGAAGAAGATTTGCGAGGCTTAGGACGGGGTCGGATCGAGTAGACCCCACTTAATATATCAGGATTGGTAAAATCTGCCACCTGAATACGTCCTAGGCCAAACTACTTCACCTACTCAGCCCACGCCGAGAGAAGAGGTTCCAGGGGGTCGTCATCCACCATCGAGGACCAGGATCAACCACCGAGTCATCCAACAACGGAGACAAGGGGAGGCCTGGACATCACGAGACGTCACCTCGGGGGGAATTCATCTACCCTCAAGATCTTCTCCTCGGTATGTCAAAATTCAATTATAATTCCCAGGACAACAAATTTTAGAAGAAAGAAGATAAATTTAAATTACATAAAAAAGGGCCTAAGTTAAATAACTACAATTCATTCAAATTAAACCTAACTTAAAAATAAAAATTTAAAACCTAAATAATCGATGATATAAATCATAAATAATAATAAAAATATTATTTCCTGCTATAAAAAACAACAACAAAATAGCCTTAAAGGTTAAACCTGTAAAATAATGTTTTTGAAATAGCCTAAGTAAGTTCTCATTTAGTATTTTATTTTCAAACGTGTATATTTGGTAGCATGCTAAATGTGAATAGTCTTTGTTTGTTAAGTGTATTAATTTTATAGAATTTCATATTAGCCTTGTGGTTTAAGTTTTGTGAACTGGACTTTGGCCAAATGGCAAAGATGTAGATTAATAACATTTTATGAATATCTATATTTTTTTTGTAAAAGGGTTTAATTAATTAAGATCGAGTCGTTTTACATATGTATTATATCTATAACTTTTAAACTTATATACGTGTTCAATTCTCTTATTTTGATACTGGGGCCCCAAAATATTTAATTCCTTTGGTAAATACGTCATTTGATTTATTGATTATTATATAAATGTATTGTGTTTTAAAGGGTTGTAGATTAGAGTGAGTGGTCAAATAAAATTTAGTAACTCATACAATGGTGTCAGTTCAATCAGTTCCTGAGTATTCTCACATATGCCAAGCGAGTATACTGAGCTTAGTTGTAGTCATTTTGTATTTTTCACATTTAAAGTAAGAGCAAAACCCCATAAGTTTACAATCTCAATAAAATAATGTCCCATGTGTTTTGTGTGAGTGTGTGTATGCGCGAGCGCGTGTGTGTAGAACGTAGAACACACCTAACCGGTTCCCTGATATGATCGCTCAACAGTGAAATAACAATTTACACGGTGGCTTTCTGTCTCCCGGTATGAGAAAGACCGCAAACTAATCCAACTAAAAACCATAAAACAAATTTAGGTTTTATAAATGCTTGAAAAAGCACATGTACAATTATAACGCATAATAAAAAACCGTAATCGAACAAATAGATCAACAAAACTTCAAATACAAAGGTTGAAACCTGTACCTAGCTGTTTTTTATCATTGGCCCTGTCTAAAAAAAGCTAATCCTAGAATGTAGCAAAGCTATAACCTAATCCATACAACTCTCAATATTCACTCATTTGCCTTGAAATAAACATTCTGATATGTCGCTGTCTTATAAATCTAACATACTCTAAACTAAACGATTGTTATTTTACCTTTGCTATACATACGATTTATTTCAAACAACTATAAAATTACACATAACAACACAAACAAGACAGACACCCTAGGGAGCACAACACTCCCCTTTAATTATTTTGCTCGAAGGAAACCAACAAAGACGTATTCCCGAGGGACCCTGTTCCCAGACAGCCCTGGAGGCGCCCCCCTCGTCAAATCCCTAGGGGGCCCCAGGCATTACTGTTATTGCAAATACTTGTACCACCTGAAGTGTACCTGCTGTTTAGGCCCGGGGGTGTTACAATCTTACAATCACAGTGTTGCTAGCTTGACACGAATCCAGGTGGGATGGGAATACAGTCGTTTGATGTTAGAAGGAAATATTTCGGGAATTTGGTGGGATTTATATTTGCCGACAGTGTATGTAGACAAAGCACTTAAGACGACCCCCGTCAATAATCCTGCCTTACTGAAACTGAGTGTTATTGAAGACGTATTACAGTCAATAGTCTTTATAATCAAAGATTTTACAGAAATAGACAAAGAAATTATTCGCTAAATGTTAATAAATTAAAATTAACAATATATTGAAAATTCGTCAAAATAGAAGTTAGCAGAATTGGTTTAGGATACTTACATACAATAGTATATTTACTTTATTAAGACAACCTATTAATGCATCCAACACAGTTAACGGAAATAAGTCACCGTTTCCTGTTTCATTAGGGCATGTATGTTGGAACTTTAAGTTTGTTCTTCACTCTGATGTTGTGTGCGTCAATTTGGTCTCTGATATTTTGTGTTGCGAGTATGATAAATGTAAAGGATAATTACTATCAGGATTTTAAGTCTGATAAACAATGGTTTACATCGTTCCGTTTCACACATTCTATAGTATGGTCCTTAGGATTTTCTTACAAATTATAGTGTCATGCACAGTGCTAGAGTGGCCTCACAGAACAATGCCATGAAAAGAGATTGAAAAAATAGAATTCCCTCAAGTACTCGTAACTAAAATAATCTATAAGCTCCTACATTAAAAAGGCACCCAAGGAATTTAAAATACACACTTGATTTAAACATGTATTTTTTTAAACAAGGATCTGCCTACTAGAAGATAATCCACCAACTTAATGCAGTCATGATCAAGTACTTTTACACTCACTTCAGTCGTAACATTTACGACAACTAGCTACTTAACTCCTTAAACGCGATTAAGATGTTCACAGGAAATCCTCATTGGGGCGCTTTCGTGTCACCCAATTTAAATTTAACGCAGCCCATATCAAAATTAGGAAGGGCCCATTCTGACGAAATTACCCTAATTCAGGGAGGCGCGTAGGAGAAGCGCCTGTTTTCCACTTTATTCCGTCGTCACACACCCAAGCTAGCGCCTACGCCGGCGGTGGGTAAAGTGGCCTTTTCCGTTGACTGTTGGACCCATAGTCTCTAGGGATCGGCTTGGCTCCGTTTTGAACCGCCTCGGTGGCTTTCGGAACCGTTTGAACTTCAGTGGTTAGAAGACGCAAGTCGGTTTGCACCAGGGAAAGGCTATTGTACATTTTTGAATTTGGATGGTTCTAAACAAAGCCATGGTGTCCTTTTTTGCCTTTTAATAAACGGTTTGGCTAGAAAACAGGTTTAAGTCATTTAACTAAGCTGTAATCTCTCTGAACACTTATCCTAAAATTCATATAACAATTAAAATGCGTACACAACGTTATTCGCTGTCTAAATGAAGTGACTTTATGAAATTACTGATTAGTCTTGATTGACAGAACCGTCCTAGAATAGAATGACTCCAGTGCTGTTTAGAATCATTCTGATTCAGTTAAATCGAGTACTTAATCTTTTAAATGTGAATTCCCGACTTTCAACAGACATATTTAACCTCCGTGCGAATACAGCTGTGCCTACGTATTCTTCCCTCCTATTCGTTATACTCCTTTGAATTAACAATTGATGTATGAATATATACAGAAATATTTAATCAAAGGCGTGTTCCACTAAGTGTTTATGCCGAAGACATGATCACCAAAAAATGTTTGTTAAAATAGAGCTATCAACAGTGATATCTAAGTAGTAAATATCAGCCTCATTTAAGTGTTCAATTCACGTAATCTCATAACAATCAATGAAAAAAAAACGAATTGTGGAAAATTATTTTTGGAACATACTAGCTACTTTAATACAATAAATAACACGACACAACTGATCTTTGTAGTGGAATAAATTAAAAACGGAAGGGAGTTATTCGTAGACAGCCCAGAGCGTTATCGGTGAGTTAAAGGTCCCTTATCACCCCCCCCCCTAAAGCCCCCGGGGCTTCAACCCGGTATTTACTACCTCCCCCGCCCAAAGTCTCCCAAGATGTGTATGTATTCATTCTACGACAGTTTATCTGGGATTGCAAATCCAACATAAGATTTATACAATGGAAGCCGTCTTTGAAACAGCTGTTTGATTACGTTACATTGGCAAAATTTTGTTTTTGTATCAGTGCATCACATTCATAATATCATGTATGGACGTATTAATAAGTATTTTAACCCAAACGTGTACGAAGGATGGAGTGGGATGATTTTATTTTAATTTATACTACTATCTTCACATTCTTACAAAATTGCCAAGTGTTTACTTTTGTTCGTAGGTGAAAAAATGGGGAAATATTTAGAAACAGGGAATTTACGCCTTGATATTTTTTAACTTTAACTTTTTTTAACGTTTTTATTAGCTCGCTTTCTTGTCCGTTACAAATTTTGCAATCGATTTTATACTAAGTTCCCGATGAGCCAGAGACTTGAAACTTGAAACATAGCTCACAAAATGGATGACAATGCAATATTATATAATTTAATTTTCATATTCCGTTGGGCTACGCACCATGGGCTTGTTTTTATTAGCTCGTTAGTCGCTTTCCTAAAAATTTTGATATCAATCTTAAACGAAGTTCCCGATGAGCTAGAGACTTGAAATTTGAAACATAGCTCACAAATGGATGACAATGCAATATTATATCATTTAATTATCATATTTCCCACGGGATATGCCCCGTGGGCTTCCAAATTTTCCATGTTTACATTTTGAAAGAATGTAAACATATCAATTAATTTAAGTCAGCTGTAAATACTTAAATTTGACAGTTCGAAGAGCAGAATATTAAGAGGTACAGGTTCTGCTCCAGATATATTCTAAAAATATAAAACAAGCATTTTAAAGTAAAGATAAAACATCTGATTAGAGATAATAAGGTTTTGGTTTGTTGTATTAATAGTCAAAGGTTATATATTAACAGGCCATATAAAATATATTTAACATATTTACACATTAAAGACTAAAAATTTGAAAATAATTTATAAATAAAAAACTTTTTTAAAACAAAACGTGTTTAAACGCACTAAAAAGTATAAAATAATTTATAAATATATTGAGAGTAAAAATACTTGTAAGATTTAAAACGAAAAACGTTGGGTGCATGCATTTAATGGATAATAATACATTAGTTTAATAGGTGAAGGTAATTGTAAATTATCTATTGCATGCACCCCACGTTTTTCGTTTTAAATCTTATAAGTATTTATACTATCAACATATTTATAAATTATTTTCTACATTTTATTGCGTTTAAAAACGTTTTGTTTTTAAAAAAGTTTTTTTGTTCATAAATTATTTTTACTATAAATTGAGATGGTAATGGATTTAAGCGCATTCTAAATGAGTAAAGGACGAGTGTAGAATA